TCTCTCTCTCTCTCTCTCTCTCTCTCTCTCTCTCTCTCTCTCTCTCTCTCTTCTGGCACTGTGCGTCATAAGCAGCTCACAGGTCCTTAAATAGTGCAGATCGTTGGTCACTGAAATGTCCCAGCAGACGTGTTTATTGAAAAGTTTCTAAACAGTAGTAGAGTTGAACCGTGTTGATTTTGTGTTCCTTTTTTAACCTTGTGGATGTTAACAACAGTGACATATTTATACGTGGTGACATTGTTCTTTAGGGGTTATGATGAGAGTCTGTAGGTTCATGCAGTGTCTTTGTTTCCAGCACCTTTGTGTTAAAAGGCTATTATGCATTCTTTTTATGAGGTTCTTGGGGCTCACGGTAATTGCCGTGAGTGAAGTAATGAAAAAAAAAGCGCTTTTAGTCAGTGTTGCTAGAGCTTCAATTAGCAGAAATTGTAACAGCTTACAATTTTGTATTATAAAGGATTATACAAAGGACAGTATAGGTATGAATTGTTTTTCTGATGCATTTGTTGTCCTGGCACCTTTTGTTCTTTTTCCCCCCTCTGTGGTTTTCAGTGCCCGATTTTCTAGTGGTCACATTGTCAAGGGGCCCAGAGCTATTGTTATATCTACTATTTATTATCACATTGCCTTCACGGAGGTTTTCTTACGCACAATACTTTGTTTTTTCATCTGTTCACATGTATTATGAATGATGTTGTTTTGGATGATTCTGTAAAATCTGACAGTCAAAGATTTATGGGTTTTTTGCGAGCTCACAGATTTCACCTTCATGTATACGAGAGGAATTTTGTCTCATTTTTCCGTCCGGATAAGTATAGCTGTGATGCTTCTTAACTTGTTAAACAGTTTTCTGTTACTGTGTTTTGCTTTGTTCTCTATAGCTGGGGGGGAAAATGCTGCCAGTGCCTGAGATTTGTGAACCGACATGCTCTCTGATATTATTATAATAGCATTCTCTGTGCCTATCAGTATCCACATTATGTGCACATTGATGTACTGCATTCATCTGTTTCATGCGATATATTGATGATACGTTTATCATGTTTAAATTTTACTACATCTCATTCAGAAAGGTTTGTGGGATGAAATGTTCATATCAAATGTCAGCTTTCAGGGGGGCGCGAGAATGAGGACTGTACATTTGAAGGCCAACATTGCATACTGCCATCAGTACTGGACACCTGTTTCAGAGTCCAGATGAAGAATGATTTGTTTTTTAACCTTCCTAGTTATGGAGGGTTTTATTTCGAATATCAAGATGAAAACTTGAACCTCGTAAGTGCATCATTAGAGGAGATGTCTGTGTTTTGTTAGAACATAATCGTCCTTGTGACTGGTCTTACATTCCCAATAACAGCAATAATTTAGCCTGTAGCCTTGATTTTCAGATACCTCACTGTATTGGCTAAACTGTACATCAAGTGAGACATGTTGGGTTAGTGGGAATGTTGCTGCCCATGTCCCCTCACTTGACACACTCAATGTTCCCCACACTGTACCTGAAAGTGTAAATTGCTATTCTCAAAACTGAAATTTTTTCCATGTTATCTTTAGATACTTCGACCATTCTTGTTAGCAAACTAAAAGTAAGTAGTGCTGTGAACTAACAAAAATAAAACTAACTTTTGTCTCTCACACTTATATGACCTTATGCGATTGCGAGTGCCGTAAAACTATTTCCAAACTAAAATCTAAATGCTGCCTGTCGTGTAGCGGTTAGGTGCTTCGGTGTCACACGCAGAAGACGTGAGTTTAACTCCAGTGTTGGGAGGGTTTTGTATCTCCATCTGTCTGCTTGGATGATATATCCGTCTCGGCGCAAGTTGGCCCTGTCAGGCAGGCTCAGCCCCCTGGGGCGGTGCTACAGACTGAAGTGTCTTTTGGCCATTCCGAAAGGGGGGACATTAACCATGTTCTTATGCTCATTAGAATTGTGATTGTAAATGGGTTGATTCATCTATGCCATGCTCGTAACTGTGCCTAAACTG